AAAAATATTTTTAAAGATATAATAGAAAAGTTCTTTGAAATGCAAAAGAACTATACCGCAAATCAAAATAGCATACTGTATTCCAGGAAAAACTAATGGAGAATGATCAACACATAGATATATTCTGATTGTTACTGACTTTCGAGCTGAAGAAACAATATTGCAGACATGCAAGTCACCTAAAAAGAGGAAAAATAGGACTGGCATGAGGTGGGGGAGGGGGGAGGGAGGAAGTACAAATAATGTTCTCACTCTTCACAGCAGGGAGCCAACAAACAGTCTCTAAAATTGAAATATGCAGTCTAAAACAAATACTGATTCCAAGTTACAATGATTTTCATATTTTCTCCCCTTAAGCTTAGAGGTATCTCAGGAAATAAAATATCTTAGAGGGAAGAAACATTTACACAAATTCAGCAACGCCTTCAGTTTAACTTCCTTCTGCCAATGTCTCTCCCTCTCTTCCCAGTCTGTCCCTGCCCCTCACCACTTGTCAATGAAGAGATGTTTGGAATATTATTCACTTGATGTTTAAACATGTAATCTCTGGGCTTTAGGTTTCACTTCTTCATTCTTTTGTATACTGCTATAATTCTTTGAAATGCACATTTACAGAATAATAAAGCCAATTATTCTTTCAAAAAAGAGGAGAAAGGATGTGACTTCTCATTTTTTCATTTTATGACAGCGAAATGAGTGACCTTCCTAACAATGCTACTTTTACGAGCGACCTTCCTAATAACCCTTATTTAAAAATAACCCTGATTAAAAAAACATTTTAAAAAATGAATTGGTGAAGGATACATTATACCCAGAATAAAGCAAAATAAGGAACCCTGAGAGGTCAGCAAGTACCACAGCCAGCTTTTGCTCTGCCCCGCCGGTCTGCAAACTGTGCAAAACCTGAGCTCTGCTTTGATGTCTGTATGGGGCATGAGTGATACGAAGGAAAACCCAAGATGGGGACTTTAAAAAAAGACCCAGCACTAAAGGAAAAAAGAGAAATAAACCTTACAACACAGAAGGAGATAGCAAAAAAACCCTGCCTGTCTTGACTGTGGCACCTGAAGGAAAGAAATAAAAATCTTATTTAAGTTTATAATGACAAGCTAGCCTCATTCACTCAGGCTTCTGGTCCAAATTACACACTAGTAGCCGCCTGGGTGATTCAGAAAAATCACAAGAAGAGATTTTAATTTAAAGTGGTCTCATCTAGGTAGAACAAGACTGACACATACAAACATATCTTTCTGGAGGAAATAAATCTGAACCGAAGATTGAAGGAAATCCCACAGATCAAGTTCCAAGGAAAACAATCAGTTCACATTCAAAGATCACAAAAGATATACTTGAAAACAAGGTACCATAAGACCAGAAAACAGATCAACAAACACTTTGGATACTGACACCATCAGGCAAAGAATATTAAAAAGAGGAGCTTAAAAATATTAGCAGGGGACCAGATGTGGTGGCTCATGCCGGTAATCCCAGCACTTTGGGAGGTCATGGCAGGAAGAATGCTTGAGGTCGAGAGTTCAAGATCAGCCTAAACAACATAGTGAGACCCTGTCTCTACAAAACTTAGAAAAAAATAAAATTAGCTGAGCATGGTGTCATGCACCTGTAGTCCCAGCTACTCAGGAGGCTGTGGCAGGAGGATCACTCGAACTCAGGAGTTTGAGGTTGCTGTGAGCTATTAAGATGCCACTGCACTCTAGCCTGGACAACAGAGAGAAACCCTGTCTCAAAAAAAAAAAAAAATCCAAAAAATTAGCAAGAGATTTAGAAAAGAATGAAAAGGACTTTCTGTAATGAAAAAATGCAATAGGTTTAATTAAAACTCAATGGATGGATGAAATACCAACCAGAGTTGAGAAGAGAGAAATAAATTGGAAAACAATTTGAATAAACTACCAAAAATATAATTCAAAGTGATGAAATATATAGAAAAGAATTTAAGACACATGGAAAAGAAACTGAAAAAATTTAACTTATGTCAAACTGGAATTCCAGGAGGTAACAGAGAAAACAGCAAATGGGTAATATTCAAGAAAATAATAAATGAGAAATTTCAGAATTGTTGAAATACAATTCCCAGATTTAAAAAGGGCGGTCCATTTACATTCCATGTAACTGATATTTTGTAATATCCTCCAGATAACTACATGGCCAACCTTTTAATTATTATTCTTTAGTTTCCTTTTAAATTATTATGGCTTAATCCTTTTTTCCTCCTTTTACCTCCTTTACAGTAAGATTAAAATTTACTTCATTTGTTTATGTCCCAATTTTTTTCAACTAACAAAAATAAATCTTGAATTCTCTTGAAGTTTAAGGCAAAAGTAGAGATTAATCTTAAGGCTTTGTATTTCAGGAATTTTACTGAATGATCTTAAGTTACTTATCTGAAGTTTGGTTTTAAGAAGAATTTGTTCTACAGAAACCACAAGAGACCAAAGTGCAATTCAAACAAGTCTGTGGGCCTCATGTCCTACTAACCTCCATTTCCTGCCTTAACCATTCTTCTAATTCTGTATTCTTTCGAGCATGATGAGCTATTAGATCTGATCCTCCAATGATGTGTGGAAGTTTTCCTGCTCCAGGAAATGTGATCTGTAAAAGTAGTGAGGTTAAACAGATTAACAAATTAAGATGACTAGTTTTTAAAAAGCTTAAAAAGCAAAGATTGTAAATCATGCATAATCTAAGTGCCAGAGATGTTTATACCCCACAAAGGTGAGAGAGAGGTTAACTCTGTGCTAGACTCATCTATTTTTGCCCTTTTCTAGCTATTACTATTCCAAATTTGGACATGTCATTGGGATTTATACACTAAAAAGAATTTAGGATTTTAAATTTAAAGTTTTTATTAAAAAAATGACCCTAGCTTGTCATTTAACAATTAAAGGAATTCATGTTGAACATACACTATGATTGAAAGCATTATATTTTGTTCTAAAGATCTCAAATTTTAAGCCCTTTCTAGTATTGATGGAAATTTAAATCTTTTCAAAATTTCCCAGTTTATAGATCTCTAGCAGGATATGTTGAAGATGTGAACAATTTATACTTTTAATTTAATATTTTAATTGTTTACAAAGAGATGCTGAAAAAAAGAAAATTCCATGCAAAAATACTTATCAAACACATTGCTAATTTTGTATTTAGGAAGTAATAAATCCTTAATATTTATGGGACGTGCTTTTAAAATTCCAATATATGAAGTGGTGAGGAAATTTTAAATCAGTTTTCATCATTAAACAGTATTTTAAAAGTACAAAAAGAGCCATGTCATGGATTTGGAGATTTAAGGAAAACTCAAGACAAATTCCTTCATTAGAGACAATCTAGTTAAACATCTTTCTATACAAATTTTAGTTTGAATTTCTTCTATAGTTTCAAAACAAATTTCTTAGTTAAGGATATCAGTATTTTTAAGGGTTTTAAATCTTTCTAAATCACCTTCCAGAAGTTTGTACTACTTTATACTTCCTCAGAGCTATTTTTATACCATTTCTGTGCCAATCGTGAATTGAACATTATAGCTCTTTCTTTGCTAACTTAACCAATAAAAAAAGTCCTTTGAATTCTGATTTCTTTAACAATGAGATTTTGTAACATGATTTTAAACATGAAGTAAATATGCAGTAGGAATGCCCTTGTGCTATACATGAGCCACAGCTATGGGGTGGGAAGAAGTGGTGTTAAACAAAAAGGTGTATCACGGTGCCATGCAAGTAGGAGACATTTCCGTCTTCCTCCCTAAGCAGAAGAAATTCTTCTCATCGAATGGAGTTCAGAACCCTATAGATACTGTCATAGTAGGTAGAAAACTAATTTTATTGAGAAATGTTAATAGTCAATGCTCACACTGGAGAGAAAAAGCTATACCACCTCACGGTCATGGCAAGAATTGTACAGATCACATTACAGAGAGAAGCAGTTTTCCACAAAAATTACTTTTGATATAATTACTGCACTCTGATCAAATACATAAGCAAATGCTAGCAGTTAGAAGTAGGTCTGGAACAAGAAGCAAATATCCCTGAACAGAAAACAAAAGAATACAGACTGGATCAGAAATATTCTTTTAACCACACTGATAAATATCAGTTCCTTAATGAGGAGAAGCTCAGGTCTGATGGTAATACTCAGTGTACATATCTTTATTTTGTTTTCATTATTGTATATGCTGTTATTTTAACAAATTTTTATCTTCATAAAGCCCTGAGCTAAAGAACCCCTTCAAGTCACTGTAGATGGATATTAGAATGACAAGAAGGACCCTGTCATTCTAGACAAAGCCACCTGCTTAAGGTGGAGAAAACCAGGTAAACAACAACCTGTAAAGAACTGTCTTGATGAAATCTGATTCATTCTAGGGGTCCCATATATTCATTAACCGTCCATTCACATCCTTCCTAGATTAATTTTTCAACTGTCTTAAGCAGAAGAAATAGCATCAGTTTTCAATGTAAACTGTTTTTTATTATTGTTTAGTAGCAACAGTATTTCTAAAAACATTTCGAACACTGCCCTCTTGTGATACAGTTAAAGAAATACCTACCTTTTTGAATTTCTTGAAATTCTTTAGTTGGCCATAATCATTATTTACAACAGATGGATTTCTGGAAGTAGAGTTTTTCACCACCAGTGATCTAAATTCAGTTAATAACACTTTTCTTGGAAGCGTCTCACTATTGTCCTGAAGATCGTCATTGCTCTTAAATGAGGTTAAAATGTATAAACAAAAAGAAAGGGAAAGTTACTTGTCATTCAGGGGTCTAAAGAAAAAAGTTCAAATATCTGGAAAAATAGTAAAAATGGTTTATTTCTGGTACCTGAACTTTTATTTGGAATCAACTTTTACCTATTTCAAAATCAGAAAATTACTGACTCAAATGCTCTATAACTTTGGAAACATTTATAACATACTCATCTGTGAAAGAAGGCCTATTCTTAGTAGCCTATTCTAATAAATATCATTTCAATCAACAATTTACCTTCAGGTATACATATTTTAACATGAAATCTTAGCACTGCTTTTCATTAAAATTGTACACTGAGATTATTATATATTTTGTTGTACAGGTCCTCATCTACTATATTTAAGCTTCCTTGGATTCTCAAGTTTGTATTTTTTATTATTTTTGATACCTCAAAAAAATCAGTCATTAATTCTCAACACACTACCTCATTAACTGACAAGCCATGTTAAGTTCAAGATTAATAGTCATTAAATCAGCCTGAAGATTCTTCCTATTATCATTCAAATGCTGGATGTTTTTTTTTTTTGCTTTATGCCATTTACTATTAACTGTCTAGTCAGTTACAGATCAACAGTGTTACAACTGTTTAAGATGGACCATCTTAGTTCTTTTAACTGCTGAACTGTATAATTCATATGGAAATTGCTAACAGGTCTAAGAAAAGGCAGGAATAAAAAAAGGGGAAAATCAAATGAAAAGGTTCATCTGATAGTGACAGAATGTAATCAGGACATCTATTAAATAATAATAGCCTAAAACTTTTATTTATTTATTTTTAAAAACAGTCTCTCAATATGTTGCCCTGGCTCATCACCAACTCCTGGGCTCAAGTGATCCTCCCGCCTCAGCCT